CTGCCACTCTACTGYGACTGAAAATGGCTTGTTGGACTGGAATGTGTAACTGCCTGACAGCTCCTACATCAACAAAGCATTGCCCCTCCATCTTTCAGTAGGGGATAAATAAACTGTGCGAAAATACTGAATTCTGCATGACGATGGAATGGTCGTTTACAGCTGAGCAAGAAGGTGAATCTCTGTTTCCGCTGTTCCTTATATCRCATATTCAAATGCTAATGGCCGTGTTCTACTCCCATCCCCTTTTCTTTGTGATTAAATTTCTAGAAAAGGCTTGTGGAAGAGGAAGGATGTGACAGAGTTTTGCTACCAYCTGTCCCTTCCTCCAGCACTTGAGAGGTGACTAAAGATGGCAGGCTCAGGAAACGAGCAATTTTTACCCTAAAAGATAACAGATTTTAAATAGGTATGGGAGAGGCTTCCTTCCCTGAGATGTTACAGAACTTTTCCTGGGATGGATCTACCTCACGTTATACAAAAGCACACCARTGAGTGACTCTGAGACCTGTTGGACTCTGTCCATCAGCTGGGGTTTATATGCTGACATCACAGATTACATTCACAACTCAAGGGAGTTGTATGTGTTGTGCCTTTTTCGTCATTTTTCTCTAAATGATGATGGAGATATGCTGGAGACAATCATGAACTGCCCTGAACTGCTGCACTTCTTACTGTTAGACATGATCACATATTTTGGCAGCATTGTTGACATCCACATCTAAGGTTTCCTTATTTGGATAAAGGAAACATCTCTAAAAACCAGGAAAAAACAACACAACCACAAAACCAAGCCAAACCAAACAAAAAAACCCRTAGATCCTTTGAAAATCATAGCTCTACTAAAAGTAGTAGGAAACTAAATTCAGTACATTATATATGACTCTTTTCCAATTAGATTGGAAGTATAGAGATTTCTAAGCTACAAAATGAGGTGTTAAGGGAATCAGAAATAATTTCTGCATCAGTGTTTATCTACCACAAATGCTGTATCTCTTAGTGTTTTAAGTAACTCCTGCATATCCTTAGGGAACAGTAGATAGAAAGTTCTTTGGGAAGGTCTTTAAATACCCTATGACAATTTCARCAACTTTTTATTGTGATTAATCCTAGATCTTGTACAGCTAGTTAAGCCTCACCCAGAAAGCCTCACCCAACAGAGTTTATATGTGTTATTATACTTTGGAATGTTAAGTGTTTTAGATGGAGTCTCTGCTGGGAGCTCTTATATAAAGAACAGGTTTTTTTCCATGAAACAAGAAAGTGTTCAAAACACCCACCTCCCCCTCCACCCCCCCCCCCCCAAAAAAAAGTCTGAAATTGCACTGCATTGTTTAACTTTTTACAGTTTGTGATATAATCTTTACAAAAACAAATGCTGCCACATTCTGAGTTTTGAACAAACCAAAATCAAAGGATTAAGTATTTTAAGCACTTTAAACTCTTCACCRATTAGTTAGTTCAGTGTGGCTTTTCTATCTCTGAACTGCTTGTAGCAAACTTTGAATGCAGAAAGAACTTTTCAAAAATGAGAATTTTTTTCTCTAACAAATCTGATTTTTCAAACATTGCTGTTTTCTGCATAAAGTGCTTCTTCCACCGGTTACTATTTATTTAACTTCAAAAGTTCAAGTCAAAGTCATGCCAGACATTAATTATAAAGAAAAATCATGTTTGCTACTTATTACTGATTTTGAATAATATGTAGTTAAAAATGCAGAACAAAAGGAATCTGAAGATAGTCATGATGTACTTCATCTACCCTGCACTTAAGCTAAGTCTSCTGGCTGAAAATCATTCCATCATTTGCGAGCAGCAGAAGAAAAGAAGGGAAAACTTGTACTTACATTTTTTGTATTCCTTGAAAAACCTTTGGGCTCTTTGCTGCCCAAACTGAGCAGCAGCTGGCCTAGAGGAATGAAGGGCCTACCTACTCTGTGAGACCCCTGAAGGTCCCCACATTCAGAATCCCTCAGCCATCTAAGCAGGACCAAATGATCAYAACTTTCTACATTTGGGAAAGGATTGTGTAGTTAAAACACAAGCTGCTCCTCACTGGTGTGAATTCAAATTATGCAAGCACCTAAGTGAGAACTGAGTATCTAAATGGAAATGTCATCCCCTATGCAGCTTCTGAGCTGCTGCAAAACCTGAACSCCTGGAATTAACTTTGTAGAGTACTGAGAACAATGACACATCACCACTGTAGAGGAGAACTTTGGCCAAACAAGTTGTGTAATTCTGAGAACAATGCAGGAAATTCCTGATCCTGAAGTGTTAATTGTAACATCAACTTACAATGTGTTATGCCTGCTCAGAGGCTCTACCTGAATTTAAAGCTGCATGTCCCTGTTTAAAAATGCACTGCAATTACAGCAGGAAATAACCAGTTCATATGGAAAAGAAAAAGAGACACAGAACAATCCTTTCTTGTAGGTAATATTGAGGCAATGTTGCTGGGAGGAAAAAATTAGATTTTCTAAGAGTGTAGCCTGCCTGCATTCTAAATGTGGAGAAAAACATCCTCACTAAGCATATTATCTTCCGGCTGGAACTTCAAAGTTGTTCACCTCATTTTTTTTTTTTTTTTTTTTTTTTTAAAGACAGTAATTCTCTCCCTACACATGAAGCCTTGATATTTTCTTAGTTCTTAAAAGATCTTGCATTTTCATAAGCCTTCTCAGAGCCCTGGGCTGACGATACGGTGGACCGGCTATATTGTACCTAACAATTTTGCTGCGAGTTTCACAAAAGAATACAATGCATACTTTTGCACATACATTAAGCACCGTTAATTTTCTTCTGTTTGAAAACAGAATTGTTAAATATATTCAAGTTTAATTGGGAAGACACTTTCAGAAACTGCTCTCCCTGTTCTTCCTACTTATTAGTTCATGACTCTACTGTTGTAAACACAAATGTTGCATAGCTGCCAGACAACAAAGGTAAACTTCCAACATTGCCTGTAGCTATAAAGTTGGGGTGAGAATAGAAAAATTCTACCTTTTGTATGCAAATAACATAGAATTAATAAGTAAGTAGTAACATTGTCAATAAAATGCTTCCTGACAATTAACATATATCTTGGTTTTACCTTGAACCCTCAGGTCCTTCAGACAGCCAGAAAATGCCAGAAAATGTCCTTCTCATTTCTTAAAAGATAAGCATAATTTGCAACATGAAACTTGTAAACATCTCATTCCTGACAAATTAGGTATCATGTTTCCTTCAGCCAACTTGTGTTTCTTGGATCATGTGGCATTTATGATATATTTTAGACCACACTGCTCCATACTACAGGAGCCTTAACCRCTGTAATTATATGCTACTAAAACCAAGAACTGCACAATGTGTGTGTCTTTTTCCAACCATATGTCTGTAGAAAGAAACCCAAAATTGCAGAAATGCATCTGTCATGCATATTCATACACAATTCCTGGGTGTGCTTGAATAATCAAGCACTTTTCAATTTAAGGCAATATACTTCATGCAGTCACACTTGAAAGAACATTTCTAAAATGTTAACCATAACTACCAYGTTGTGGTATAATTAACAAGTTTAAAAGAATTATTGAATGAAAGAGCTTGTAAATCTCAGTGTGAAAGAGCTGTTATGATTTCACATGCAGATCTGAGCCACAAACTCAACATGCTTTCTCTGCATAGGGCAAAGACTTTGTCAACAATGCCTGACATAACGCATAAAAAATGGAGAGAAATGTGGCAGTCTTTAGTCCTTGCATATGCTGCTTCATCAACATAGTTTTATTTAGGATTCCCATATGATTTATTTGGCTCTTCAATGAGGTGCACATTTTCCAGGGATAATCCAAGTATGTAAATATATGTGCCCAGATGCTATGGGAGCATTCAAATAGGCTCGTAGTGGAAGCTTTAGGGACGTGTGTAATAACAATACATTTTCTCGTGGTTTTGCAAGATACTTATAGGAGCTGCCACAAACCCTTCACAAGCAGCCAACACAAATTTAGCCAGGTTCTTGTTTGATTGCCACAGCTTGCAYTTTGACTGTTGTGTTAGCAGATGCTGGAGTTGCAGGTATTAGCAAAAAACTTGTAARTGAAGGCTTGAAGGCAACTGAGAGAGCTTGCTACATGAAGGGGGTAGCAAGCTGGGAAAGCACCTGCAGCCTTTACCTCTGGGCGGGTGTGGGCAGCAAGAGTTACAGCACTACAGCATTTTAGCTTAGTGTCCTGGAAAGTCTCTTAGGCTTAAGCGGCAAGATGCAAAAAAAGCACAGCGGAAAAAAGCMCAGTGGAACACCACGGCAGGTGGGGGCCCGTCCCTGGATCTGCACATCCTGCGCCGGCATGACTGGCTATGCCTSCCTGCCCTGTGCTTGCCACAGCGTCCCACCCTCGCCAACACACCCTGCTCCTGCTGTAACCATCCAGCCTGCATGGCCCACACSGGCCCGCATAGCCCATCCCTGTCTGTGTGCCCCATTCCCGTTGCGTACCCCATCCCCATCCGCCTCAGCCTGGAACACCCCTCCCTGCTGCGCGCTCTGTGCCTGCCCAAACACCGAATCCTCGCCCCGAATTCTCACTGCTGCCTGCACCTCCTGTCGCTGCCCGTGCGCCCCTGTGCCCCATTCCTGCCCACACTCCCGTGCCTTCCCAAACACCGAATCCTCGCCCTGTCCCTCTGCGTTTCCCACAGCTGCCCGCCCCTCCTGTCGCTGCCCGTGCGCTCCGTCCTGTCCCGAGAGCCCCGTCCCCGGGCAGCCCATCGCCGCCCGAGCCCCCGTGCGCACCGTGCGCCCCTCCGTCCGCCCCAGCCCGCTCCGTCCCAGCCCCAGAGGACCCTCGGGGGCGGTTCGGCGGCGGCGGCTCCCCGCCTTCTCCCGCCGCCCGGCAGCGGGGGGCCGCGCCCCGCGCACCTCCCTGCCCTGCGGGGCCCTGAGGCGCCGCGCACCCCGCGCCGCGGCAGAGGCGCGCAGGGCCGGCCTGAGGCAGGCGGAGCGGCGGCCGAGCGCCGCGGGAGCAGGATGGCCGCGGGGCAGCGCCGGGCCACTGCCGCCTCCCCGCTCGCCCTCGCCATGGGGCTGCTCGCCGTCGCACAGGTAAGGGGGCCCGGGGTCGCCTCTCCGGGACGGGGCTGYCCCGCACCTGCGGCCGCCGCGGCGCTCCCGGGCTGGGGCAGCGCTGGCTCCTCCTGGGCCGGCAGGTAGCTGCCTTGGCCGCCCGCAGCCCCTGCCCGCACCGAGAGCCAGCCGCAGGCTCTGCGCTGCTGGGTTTGCCGAGCGGACATCTCCGGGAGCATGGCTGGTCTCACAGCTCTCTGGAAGGGAGGGAAGGTTCGTTATTATAAAAGTTGCTGAGCTTTGCCTAGTGTCGGGCGTGAGGTTCTCAGCCTGCTTCATTGCGGGGAAATACTCTCCAAGATGCAGAGAAACTTAGAGAGTCCCCGCCTGCATTTCTCACACGGGTGTTTCTTTCTGAACGTCGAGCGCTGAGCCGGGGCCGTGTCACTGAGTTTCCCTTGGGTGTAATTTATATCATCTAACATGCTTTACAGGTGGTTTGTTTTGCTTAGTCATCGATTTGCTACTGCCCAGCTTTTATTTTAGAATGTAGACAAAAAAAATCACATAAAATAATGATAATAAAAAAAGAAACTCACTGAGGATGCACCAGTCACCCTTCTGAAGACAATATAGGAACTCACTTCAAGCTCTGTCTGTGCCTTAAAGGAAAGGTGTGRGCATGGCTTTCTAAATTGTTTCTATTTGGTTCTATTCTTAAATTTTAAAGATGAGCTTCAAGTAAGTAATAACACATTTCAGTACTGATGATATTTTTGTATTTAGACCAATGACCTAAATCTATCATGAAAACAACACACAACACCTTAATTAAAAAAAAAAAAAAAAGTACGGGGTCACTTGAAAAAAGCTTAGAAACATAATTCTCTATATTTGTATTTTTGGTTCGCTCCTGTGCTCTTGACATGTATTTTGTCCTCCTTTGAACCTCTGCTGTAACTGTAGCTCCATGAGCAGGTTAGCCTAGTCACCTGTTTTGGTAGAGAAACTTGTGTGTTAGATTGTTTTGCCTTCTGTTATTGCACCACTTTGGATCCCATGCAAGGAAGTTATTGAAAAGGGGAGTGCCTTGAGGATGAAGTGAGATGACAGCCTGAGCCTAAAGGCATACGGCCAGGAGTGGATCAGGACCATGTCACGGGAAGAGTTGCTGACAAAAGGTTGCAGGTGGCTTTGGTAGTGCCGGTATCCTCGGGAGCACCTGGACTGGCCCAGAGAGACCAGTCTCTAATGGGATCTGGAGTCTGTTTTGGTAAATGATAGCTATGATCCTGCAATGGAAACCTCCTCTGCCACATCACATAATCCTGCCACCAACTCTGTTCCCAGGGCTGAGATGGAGCTGATCTCCCCTGGCACTCTGCTCTATCCCTGCTTGTCCTGGCCCTGTGCACCTGCTTTTCCTCTTTGTTGCAAGCAGTTCTACTTTGTGGGGAACTAAAATATCTCCTTTTTACTTTTTTGCATGTAAAGACAGACTTTTCGGGCTAATATTTTGAAATTGTGGCATGAGGGAGATGCACTGCAGTCRCTTGGGCGCTGAAAAAGACAGGCAGTTTAGTTTTCCTTGGCTTTTATGWTGGACACTTAAAAGAATTCCACTTTGCAGTTACTGAATTAGTGTTACTCTTGAAATAGCAGTTTGGCACTGCCTCCTGCCTCTAGTCTCAAATTTACACACAGATAGTGTGAATAAAATCAGTTGTCCTCATGGGCAGCATTTCCTSGGGCCAAGAACATAATCAGCTTGGGAAACCTCCTGTTGTTTTTCTTACATTTGTAATGCGAGGTAATGGCATAAGTGGGGATCCAAGTTATGCTTTACTGAGCAGTCACAGGTTGTTCATGCATCACAAAGAAGATATACAGGTATACATATGTATTTATAAATACATATAGACAAACTGCAATTCTGTAAAGCTGCAATTATTAGCCTAAAATTTAGATTTTAGGCTGATTATGGTGAAAAATTATTTTTCTTCTTGTTTACTAAGAATGACCATATATGTAAGGTTTGGATGATATTTCTATACCATATTATCATGTAATGGTTTGGATTGGAAGGGACCCTAAATATCATCTGGTTCCAACTCTCCTGACATGGGCAGGGRCACCTTCCATCAGGCTAGGTTGCTCAAAGCCCCATCCAGCCTGACTCTAGCATTTCCAGGTATGGTACAAAAGAGGATGCTAAATACTTTTTTTTATAAATAAAAATAAAATAAAAATAAACTGAGTCTTCACACTGTGTGTTGTTTTTATTATTATTTTAATTGGTATTTAAAATAGTTATTACTATTTTAAAGCTACACCAAACTGATTCTTTTCACCAGTAATAAATAGGATCTACAGTATGCCTGAACTTTATTTTCAGGCTCTCTTTTGGAATTAAGAACAAGTTTGCTTGGGTTGACATATGCTCCTGCTGCATTCTCACTTCAGTGTTTCTGTGGATTTTTGATTTCCTCTTAATTTTTTTACCCATCATTTTTAATAGGTATCATGATTTTTAAATGTAATTTTGTTCTCCTTTGCATCTATAAACCAAATTATATGGGTTTTAGTGGAACTTCTCTTATTCTCAGGGAGTTTTTTTTTTAATTTGGGTTGCAAATTTAAAAATGTGGAAGAGAATGTAGTAGATACCTCAACAAAAGAACCAAAACTAGCTTCTTAAATTGCATTGTACATAATAGTTATTATAGTGGATACATCTTGTAACTCTGCTTAAAACTTCATGTATGAGCTTCGTGTATAAGTGCAGACACTTTCTCATGTGTTTTATGGGCTCACTGGATATGAGCAGGTTTACGTCTGGAAGGGGTGTAAGCAAATGTAGGCCATTGGTAAATGAATTTTGTATGCTAGTCATTGTATTCTTAGACTGTTTGASCCTCCTATTTGCTATATGCTATTCTATTTTGTATTTAAGTTGTTGTGCTTGCCACAGTGTACCTTTTGATGTCCGCAACTCATTTTACAGGGTGGAAGGAAGTGAAGTGGTGGTGCTTTTTGCAATAGTCATATGGAGAAGAGAGCATCTTTTTTAGATACTCCCATGTAGTGACATAGTGGTGGTTTGTATTAAGCACCTTCCTTTATTCTTCCCGAGCAAAATACTTACCAAGTGAAAATCTTATTTTTGTTTCGTTGTTCAGAGAARACTATAACTTTCTCTTCTATTGATTGAAGTTGAAAATAAAGCCAGTCAAAGCTACTGAAAATACATATACAAATACAAATACAAACACTCCCTGTGTTTGTAAAATTGACCACGTTACAGTTAGAATGTCAAAATGTTTCAGTCTGGAGTAATTTCAGATAAGACTGCAGGAAAAATATGAGGACAAAATATTAGGATACAAGTACTGTATTTATGTGGGTCAGCGAGTCAGCCAGCACTGAAACATCACCATGCCACTGATTTTTTCATGTAGAATCATCTTGAATCAGTTTGTACCCATCAAAATAACTTTGTCGTATGTTTTTATAAATCTTGGGAGCATTGTGATCAAAATATATTGATTAACGTAATTACAGCAGTGTTAAATTTAAGCAAACTCAAAAGTAGTTTCATCTTGGTTTAAATAAACCTCTGTTACTTTAATGACTAGAGTTTTCATTTGAGCTTCATAATAGATTATATGGGTTCTTGGTTATTTTGTCAAGTCAAGAAATTACAGCAAGCTATATTKTTTTTACATCATCATCATCTGACATATTGAAGTTCTAGTGTTTTCACTGCCCCTTTCTAATTATAATCACAGAATCATAGACTGAATAAGGTTGGCAGAGACCTCTAGACATCATCCTGTCCAATCCCCCAAGCTGAACAGGATCCCACAGAGCCAGTTGCCCAGGATAATGTCCAGGCAGYTTTTGACTGTCTTCAGTGAAGGAGACTCCACCACCTGTCGGGGAGACCTGTTCCAGGACTCACCCTCACTGTGCCCTGATGTCCAGAGGGAGCCTCCTGTGTTGCTGTCTGCAGCCATTGCCTCTTACCCTGTTTCTGGGCACCACTGAAAAGAGCCTGATTGACTTCTTTGCACCTTCCTTTCAGGTAYTCATATACAAGGATAAGATCTCATGAAGCCTGCTTTTCTCCAGGTTGCACAGTCCCYCTCAGGCTATCAGTCCAGTCCCCTCATCATTTTGTGGCCATTTGTTGGACTCTYTAGTATGTCCATCTCTCTGGTGTGCTGGAGAGCCTAGAACTGGACACAATCCTCCAGGCWTGGCCTCATCCGTGCTCAGTTGAAGGGAAGGATCACCTCCCTCAAACTGCTGGCACTCATTTGATTAATACAGCCCAGGATAACATTTGCCTTCTCTTCTACAATTGCTGGCTCATGGTCAATTTTGGGTCTACTTGCTCTGACCCTGCCCAATGCTTTTCTGCAGAGCTGCTCTTTACTTRAAAATCTGGTGAAGAGAGCACTTCAGGCCAGCATTTCACCAGGGTGGGCTGCCTTCAACCTGTAGCACATCTGACTTCAACCAAATGTTTTTAGGAAAGTTTAATGACAATATGTAGTGCCATTTCTGAGAATTCAGGTGTATGGGAGAAAATTCAATTTAAAGCAGTTCTAATGACCTTTCTGTCATGAAAACCTTAGTTTCTTTGTGAAGAAAGGTTAAATATTTGGCAAGAGAAGGGACTGGAGATGTTGATCACTAAAATTATGAAAGTGAGAATAAGTTTGCTTAATTTACAGGTCTCTGAGCATTCATTGCCTGAAGCTCACTGGAGATTCAAGGCGTCAGCATTTTCACACATTTTCACTGGCCATATGTGAATATGTGCATATGTCAGGGAAAGGAGCAGTACTTCCTCTTCTGTTGCACCAAAGTGAGATTATTCACAAACTGCTATTACATCTGGATCCTACAGCAGTTATCTGGATATGYACAAAGGTAGGGTGAGTAAAGGGTTTGTGAATTCTAACTGCAGATTAAAAAAATCTRCAAGAGGTTCAGAGATAAACAGAGGGGATGGGAATATTTTAGCACTGGTC